GAGTGTTTTATCATCATCAAAATAATCCTTTTCTAATCGTCAAGTCTTGGATTTGCGATTTGGACGGCAAAGAACAAAAAAAACCGAACTAACCGTCACAACTGAAAATGAAAAATATCAAACATTGAATTATAATATATTGATTATTATTATTATTAAGATTTTTGAAAGAAAGAAATCCGCCGAATATTAACGACAAAATCCGAATATATTCTACCATATAAAAATTGTCGTTACTTTTACTGTTTTAAAATTATAAAAAAAAAAATAATAATAATAATGTGGAGAGAGAGAGAGAGAGAGGGAAAAAGGTCGGTGAAAAAACGAAAAAAATAAATAAATACCCCCGTAATTATGTGTCATTCATTGACAATGATAATAATAATAATACATTCGAATAAAAATTTAATAATAATTTCAAATAAATAGATCAATAGATCAATACGATTTAAAAATTAAATTGCTGTCATTGCGGATATTCGAACCGTAATTTAAATCTCTTGTGGATATTTGAGATATTTCAACATTTTTTTCCCTTTTTTTTTACACGGTCGATATATAAAAATGGCGCGAAAAAAAACTCAAACTCAAATTCAAACTCAAACGTTTCAAATATTAAAGAAAAGAAAAAAAAATTATTATTATTAATAAATGAAAATCGTTTCATCGGAATGCAAAACAAAATGTCCGACGATCGCAAACTGTAGAATCGCAGGTATGAACAAAAAAAAATTTACAAGTTTTCATTAAAAATTGGAATCAGAAAGCAATAAGTTTTATTTTTTCCATCACGTGTTTTTTTTTTTTTTTTTTCATTTTAAAAACCAGGCACTTCCTAATATTTATATACATGTGTACTTTATGTAAGCCTGAGGGACCCGTACATGCCCCCGACGTCCTTGGATTCGTTTGAAAGAAGGCGTTTGAGTAAATGCCTTACTGAGAATTATCATTATTACATTTGCCACAGTGATTCAACGACCATTGCCAAAAAAAAAAAAAAAAAAAATTTTTTTTTCATCAAATAACTCACACAGCATTTCCTTCATCCGATTGTGCAACACAATATCTATAAATAATAATAATAATAATAATAATAATAATAATTTTCTCTTTTTCTCGCATCGGTCCGACGAATTTGGCGTTACGTAAATTCAGAAGCGAATAAAATAAAATTTTAATTTTTTTATTTACGTAAATTAAAAAAAAAAAAAAAAACGAATTAACTCGAGTTTATTCAACGTGTCATTCATAACTAACCGGATGGTTACTACTACTACTACTACTACTACTTTCGAAAATTTTTCGAAAAATGTTTCACATAAAATCAACCGCTAATTTTTTTTATAGAAATCAAACATAAAGCCCGAAGCCATTAATATTAACAGCACACGCACACGTACACACCTTTCACGACCTTGAATCTTTCATCTACTTCTTCTTCTTCTTCTGTTTTCAACAACAACAACAACAACAAAAAGAAAATATTCGATTCTTTTAAATGTCCAACACCTTTAACGCCTTCATACGTAATAAAAATTAAACCGAAAAAGAAAAAAAAAAAACATTTTTGTGTGTGTGCGTGCGTGTGCGTGTGTATTGATACGTTGTCAAATCGAATTAAATAATGATTTTACGGTTTTAGTATTATTATCTTATATATATGAATCATTTTAAATATTCATTCTTTGTCCAGTTTTCCTTTTTCATTTTTCAATTTTCTTCTTACTCAAAAATTCTTAGAACATAGATTGAAATGATTCATTCATAAAAATTTTCCTATTAAGAAAATATTATACGAATTGGATCGTTGATTTTGTAAATTAAAGTCAACGAACGTGGAACTAGACCAGAAAATAAATTAATAAATTTAACGAGCTTTCCCGAAAGCAAACGCAATAATAAACATTACTCATTCCTTTTTCCAGTTAAAAAAATTATTAAATAATAATAATAATATTCGTAATTGAACTCATGGATTCAAAAAAAAAAAAAAAAAAAAAATGACTGCGTGAGTTTTTTTTTTTTCCGATTCGTTTCCATAATAGTTTTCCACATGTTCACTCAACAATTGCACTCTTGTCGCTTGCAAAAAAAAAAAAAAAAAAAAATACATTTGTCGACGACAATAATAATTTTCATTCGTCGTGGAATCAGACATTGAAAATTTCATCATACCTCCGCGATCAGGTACGGTGATTTAAAGAGAATTTTTTTCATTCTTTTGTTCTTTTTCTCCAGTTTTTTTTTTTCCCCCATTTTTTTTCCAATAGGTAGTAATAATAATAATAATAATGATAATATTTTAAAAGTCATAAGCAAAACATGATAGAAACGATGGATGAACATCGGCAAAGTTATATTTAAAGTTTAATTAACCGAAACTTCCAATTACACCATCAGAGAAAACGTTCAACTTCGGTGCTAAACGCATTTCATGATATTTTGACGCAATAAAACCAGATCTTTTATTTTATTTTTATCTATTAAAATTATTTCTTCTTCTTTCTTTCTTTTTCTTTCCTCAGGTTCTTTTGTTAATCTTTTACTCTATCGCACACACGCACACACACACACAAACATATATTTATATAATTCGAAGGGCTTAAAAATAAATAAAAAAAAAACAGACGTCCATTAAAAATATATAAAAAAAAAAAAAAAAAAAAAAAGTTACACGTAATGTTGTGTGTGTGTGTGTGTTGTGACCTCTTTGGTAAATCTTTACTCATCAAAAACAAAAAAAAAAATTATGTTTTTTATTTTTTTATTTTTTTATTTTGTATGGTTGACTTTGTTCAACAGTTCTTCTTCTTCTTCATCTTCTCCTTGTTTTGTTTTGTTTTTTCCATGATAATTTGTCGGATGACCTCGTCCACTTGATAAAAAAAAAACATGGAAAATTATTCGTAATAGCAAAAATTTATTTATATAAATTTTAATAATATTTTAAATCGTGTTTGTTGTTGTTGCCGTTTTGTGTGTTATTGAATGATTCCGTTTGTTTTTCAAACGATTAATAAACTTTTTTTTTATTAATTTGTTTCTTCTTTCCTTTTTTCCCATCATCCTCTTCTTCGTTTCTGTCGTCTCCATCTTTAAAAAGACTCAACGAAATGTAAAAAAAAAAAAATTTTTTTGTTTCTCCTCTCCAAAAGAGAGTTTAAAAAACGATTCCATAACAACGTGGAAAAGAAAATAAAAATTATTTAGAAAGCGTAAAAATTAATAATAATAATAATAATAATAATACAACGAGATGACAATGACAAAATAAGTAGAGAAAAATTCACATAAAAAAATAACGGAATTATTACGTATTAATTTAAAAAATTTTTTTTTCATAAATAAATTGATTGATAGATTCTTTACAATAAACAAATTCCACCGGAAGGAAACAACCGGAGGGGGTGGGGGATTTTTATAAACAAACACCAACGATTTCAAATAGCAACACCCAAAAAATATACAACAACCATACGAGTGGCAGTAAAAACAACAACAACAACAACCCGTAACCCAAAATTCGTTACGTAATTTTTTTTTTTTTTTGTCGTCCACCTTATGCTGTTTCGAGAGAGATAGAGAGAGAGAGAGAGAGAGAGAGAGAGAGCAGGTGAATTGATTTCTTACCTGAATCGAATAAAAAAAAACTAAAAAATCATTCAACCGGCCATTTTTTTTCCTTATTTTTCGTTCGTTTTAATACGACTTTAATTTTCCTTACGACAACCGTAAATTTAACCAACCACCTTACCCTCCTCCCCCTCCATTTTTTTTTTTTTCATCACGTTAATTCATTTTCTTAATTTTATATCAAGGCTACACCTGATTGAAACTTAATAATAATAATAATAATAATAATAATAAGGGTTTAAAATCATGAAAAGACGAAAAAAGGTCACGAATGAGTACAAAAATTGACGAAAAATCTTTAATTGAAAATCCCAAAATGGTTTTAATTGTTGTTTTTTTTGTGTTCTCACCTTTACCCCCTCCCCTCCCTCTCCCCTTTTATCATCGTTATCACTTATCGAACATTTTTTTTCGATTTTGTTCGTTATTAAGAAAAATATATATATCGTCTCGTTACGTTCATCCCTATGCTGTTAACGTTATAATTACGTCACGTTAATTATTTTGTCGTTTATGACGTGTACGTTCACGCTTATTTTGTTAAATAATTAAAGTTTTTAAAAATAATTACAAGTACATTAAAAAAAAAAAAAAACTTTTTAGTTAAATCGTTTTAATTCAACACTTAATGCGAAATGAAAAAATTTCAAAATCACGGAAACGTTTAAACGGCAGACATGTTTTTTTTTTTTTTTTTTTTTTTTGAAATTTCAATCATCAAATGTTAAGGTTAAGAAAAATTGTCAAACGGAATAAATAGATTTAATTTATTTATTCGAATACATATTTAAATCGCCTTGAACAAGTTTTTTTATTGACAAAACTGGAAAACGACAAGCAAAAAAAAAAAAAAAAACCGTTTTTTTCAAACGTTCCGCGTTCGGCATTTTAAAATTTGTCAAGAAAAAAAAAAGTTATTAAAACAAAAAAAATATTTTATTTACCTGCTCTTCCTTTTCGAATATTATTAATTAATTAAAAAACTTAATAACACTTTTTTTAAAAAATAAAACAAACTTTAGAGAAAAAATAAAACAAAGCAAGGAAAAAATAATAACTACACCGCGATAACGACAACAAGTAACCAAAAAAACTAAAAAAAAAAAAAAATTTCAAATTTAACGGTCAAAACAATTCGAACGTTTTGAAGACTTGACTTTAACTAACAAAACTTACCGAGCGCGACGTACATAAACTCCTCCCACTAACTACAACGTTTCTTATACTGCAGTAAGAGATTGTGATGAAACCATTTAAAACGATCGTTAAATATTTTTTTGATTAAAATTTAACTACAATCTTTTTGTGATTTGTAGTTATTTGTAATTACATTTAATCCACTACAAAAACTTTTTGTTTTTAACCTAAATAACACTCCAAAAACAAATTCTAAAAAAACAAAAAATGAAAAAATATTAAAAAAGGTTTCTTCATAATGTGTTTTGTTTTGTTTTTTTTTGTAAGAAAGGTGTAAGTAAAAAAAAGCGTTACTTTCCATTTCCGGTAAAAAGTTTTTTCAACCGCTTTCGAATGAGTTTCAAAAAAGCTTTTAAAAGTGTCACACACATAAAAAAACGGTTATTAATTAATAATTTATTTATTGTTAATTATATATATAAAAAAAAAAAGTTTTTAGTTTTTATTCTGTAAAAAAGAAAAAGGTTTTACAGTTTTTTTTTCTTTTCCCTTTTTTTTCTCACGTAAAATGATAAAAAAAAAAACAAAAAAAAAAAAACAAAAAACGACCAAAAAACATTTTTTTTTTTTTTTTCGTTTTTTTTTTTTCGTGTAAAACGTTTCAATTTGTGTAATTAATCACCCAAAAATAATTAAATTCGAAAAGAAGAAGAAGGAGGAGGAGGAGGAGAAAAAAAAACTGTAAGTGTGACAAATTTTTCTTAAAAACGTAAAACAATTAATCAACAAATCGTCATATTAATATGATTTTAAATAAGACGGCAGCCATTTTGTTTTATGACAAAAAATCATCCTTAACAAATACGTACGCACACATTTACATACAAACGACAAAAACAAAAATTAAAATACGTTAATAACGATACGTTAATTATTGATAATGATAACGTTTCCTTCTTTTATGTGGACAAGTATTATATTCAAATTCGCTAACGTCTTCGAATTTTTCATCACCATTTCCGGTTTCAATATCATAAATTTCTTCTTCATCTTCCGCTCCCGCCTCTTCATCTTCTTCTTCTTCTTCTACTCCTTCTACTTCTTCTTCTACTCCTTCTACTTCTTCTTCTTCTTCTTCTTCTTCTTCTGCTCCTTCTACTTCTTCTACTTCTTCTTCTACTCCTTCTACTTCTTCTTCTTCTTCTTCTTCTTCTTCATCTTCTTCACCTTCATCCTCTTCTTCTTCTTCTTCTTCTTCCTCTCCCACTCCCTCTTCATCTTCATCTTCATCTTCTTCATCTTCTTCATCTTCATCATCTTCTTCTTCTTCTTCTTCTTCTTCATCATCTTCTTCTTCCTCTTCGTAAAACTTTTCATTGTATATTTTTTCAAGTTCTTTTATGTTTCTTCTACCCGTGCTGTTGTTGTTGTTGTTGTTGTTGCAATTCCTATTGGATTTCGAAATTTCGTTTTTTTTCTTTTTTGGACTTCCATACTGGAAATTATCCCCTCCCTCGACATTGGCATAAAGTTGATATCTAGCTTTCGTAACTTGCGGTATTTTATTTTTCTTTCCATCTCTTTTACCATCACCGTCGAAACCTTTCTCGACGGTTTTCTTGTCGTTTTTAACCGAACTCTTATCATTTAATTTATTACCATCTTTTTTCTTCTTGTCGGAAAATTCGTCGCAGTTCTTGCACGGTGTTATCATGTTCTTATCTGATTTTTTAATGTTTTGTATGATGTTGTCCGAACGTATGCTTTCCTTGTTCTTAAGACCCGCGTTTATTTTCGAACAATTCGTTTCGAGGGTTGCCACGTTCGCGGTTTGATTTTTATTACCCTCCGCGTTTTCGTTTTGGATTTGATTTTGGTGTATCGTCGTCGTTTTTGGACAATCGTTCATTTTACTTTTGTTTATTATTTTCGTTGAAATGTCTTTGTTATCAGGGTTATCGGCTGTTAAATACTCGTCATTTCCAATTTTCTGATAACCTTGTTCTTTGACAGTATCAACGGAATATTTGTCTTGTTTCTTTCTCTTAACTTCTGTTATTTGTTCACCTTTTTGACAAACGCTGACTTTTTCTAAATTGTTAACGCCTTGGTCGCAGTCACTGGTGTCTATAAAATAATTATCATCATCTTGTTTTTCTAGTTCCAAAAATTCTTCGTCGTCATCCGGTTCGGAATCGAGTAGGTCGTATCCGGTTATTTCACAATTTTTCATATCGTCGTTTTCGTCTTCTAAAACGTTCGGATTCGAATCCTGATCTTGAGAAATGTAACCATCTTCTTCCATGGGTTCATAGTTACCATCGTCTATGTATTCCAATTGACATTCGTCTTGGGTTAATTCATTCATGAAGTACATATCCTCGCAATTCGGTGGACAATTGTTGTCATCGTCATTGTTGTTGCTCCCCCTGCCGTTAACTGTACCATTATCGCCGTTATCGCTCTCGTCGCTTCTATTATTATTATCAATACCCATGCCACTATTAATGCATTCATAATATCCGTTATCATTGTTACTGTCATCGTTTCCATTATCATTGTTGCATTCATCATTACCATTTTTGCCGCGTCTGTTATCGTTGCATTCGTCGTCGTTGTTTCCGTTGTTCCCGTTGTTGTCGTCGCAATCGTCATTATTTCTGTTACCTTTGCTATTGCCGTTGTCGTCGTAATCGTCATCCCCGTTACCGTTGCCATTGCCGTTTTCGTCGTAATCGTCATCCCTGTTACGGTTGCCATTGCCGTTCTCGTCGCATTCGTCATCCCCGTTACCGTTGCCATTGCCGTTCTCGTCGCAATCGTCATCCCTGTTACGGTTGCCGTTGCCATTTTCGTCGCATTCGTCATCATCCCCGTTATCATTGTCGTTGTCGTCGTATTCTTCGTCATCCCTGTTACGGTTGCCGTTGCCATTTTCGTCGCATTCGTCATCATCCCCGTTACCATTGTCGTTGTCGTCGTATTCTTCGTCATCCCCGTTGCCATTACCATTCTCGTCGGAATCGTCGCCTCTTTTATTATTACCATTATTTTCATTGTTGCATTCATCATCGTCATTATTATTGTAATCATCATCTCCATTGTTTTCGTCATCGTTGTTGTACTCATCGTCATCATTATTGTTCTTACAATTCTGCACTCGTGAAATTCTTTTCCTTCGGGTACTCTTGCTCTTATTTTTAATCTTGCTATTAGTCGGTTTCCTTTTACGCGTATCTCTTCTCCTTCGCGAATAATTTTTTTTACAAGGATCATTACTACCTCTGCTGTCTTTCTTTCTCCGCTGAGTACTTTTCCTATATGAATCTCTCTTTTTACAAGGGTCGTCTTTTTGACAGGGATCATTTCTCTGACCGGAATCTCTTTTCTTATACTGATCATCTCTTTGACCGGAATCTTTTTTCCTTTGAGACCCGACCTTTTTCTTCTGCACACTTTTTTTCTGATTCGAATTGTATTTCTTACACGAATCATCTCTTTGACCGGAATCTTTTTTCCTTTGAGACCCGACCTTTTTCTTATGCATACTTTTTTTCTGATTCGAATTGTTTTTCTTGCACGGATCCTCCTTTAGACAGGGATCCTTTTTCTTACAAGCCTCTTCCTTTTGACAAATCTCTTTTTTCTTACTGGGATCCTCCTTTAGAGAGGGTTCTTTTTTCTTACAAGGATCCTCCTTTTGACAAATCTCTTTTTTCTTACACGGATCTTCCTTTTGACAGGGATCTTTTTTCTTACACGGATCATCATCTTGTTGAGAGGGATCATTCGTTTTGCGCGGATCGTCACAAGCACCTTTTCTATCTGTGAAACAATTCAAATAACTCACAGAATTCTCAGAATTAAAAAGTAACGATTTTTTTTTTTTTAAGCCTTACGTTTTTCGTAGTCGACATCCGGTAACGTTCTCGTTTGTTTCCGGTTGCAATGAGTATCGCTGTGACTCCCATAATCTTTTTTAGAGAATTTATATTGGTGAACAGTTTCCGTGGATGCCATTTTTCTTTTATGACTTTTCTTTATCGTCGTTATCGAATCTTTTCTTAGAGAATCATCGGAAAAATAATCCACGTCTTCATCGTCATCGCTAAAAAAATCATCGTCATCTTCATCTTCGTCATCTTCGTACAAACATGATTTAGGTCTGTAGTAAATAACTTGTCCATCATCATCTGGAAAACTCAAACGACTCGTGCGACAGTTTAATGTAGTAAAATTAGCATCTTCCGCCGGATTTTTAGCAGACATTTCGATAAAATTATTGTTTTCGTTATTATTGTTTTTGTTGTTGTTGCTACTACCTCTATTATTATTATTATTATTATTATTATTATTATTATTATTACAATTGCTATTATTATTATTATTATTGTTATAATTATTGATATTTTTATTTTTAATAAATCTTTCCTTTTTTAAATTTCTATTATTTTTCATGTCGATTCCATTGTATATGATTTTATCAATTTTAACACCCTTTCTTATTTTGTACAATCCGTTTGTTTTTGTTAGTAAACCTTTTTGTACGGCTTTGTCGAAAAATCGTTTCACGTCTTTTTTAACATCATTTTCTTTGAGTTTTCCATTTTGGCATATTTTACCAACGACTTCCCTTATTGATATACCATCATTTTTACATACGTCGTTTATGGCTAATAATATGAGTTTGGATGTGTTGATTCTGTTTCCTTTTTTCAAAAAACATTCTTCGTATTGATTCATTTTTTCCTTTTATCAACTTCCTTTTTTGTTTTAAATAAAAAAAAAAAAAAATTTATTTTTAACCAAAATATCAAATTTCAAACATTATAAAAAAAATTATTATTATTATGTTGTTGTTGTTGTTGTTTATTATTATTATTATTATTTTAACTTATCCCAGACTCGTAAAAAAAAATTTTTCTTTCTTTCTTTCTTTACTATCTATTGTATACGATGGGGAGAATAATAATAATACTAAACAATAACATAAATTTTTTATTTTCTTACTTACTCTTATATCATCCAAAATGAGAGAAAAAAAAAAGAAAATTTTGTGTTTTGATGAAATTTGAAAATTTGAAAAGAAAATACATTTACATTGGAATTTTGTACGGGTCCATAAATAAAGATTTAAAAAAAAAAAAAAAAAAAAAAAAATTTTTATTATTTTTTATTTGGAAAAATTGTTATTATTATGAGAAAAAAAAAAACAAAATAATTTTATATAACCATTCAATATAACTGTTATGTTTTTTTACTTTAATGGCGGCGGTTAATTTTTTGTTGACAACAATTTAATTTTTATATATATATATATATATATGTATATATTAAGAAAATGGAATCTCGCAAAGTGTTTGCCGTGATAACAACTCCGGTATCAATTTTAATATTATCGTGACCGCGCAAATTCGTATCAGATTCAAAAAATCTTAATTTCGAGTTTTACATATCCACCCCCTCCCCACATCCTCCTCCTACCCCACCACACCCCACCCGAACACCCCAAAAACAACAACAACAACAACAAACTTGCAAAATTTCTATAAGCACAGTAAAATTATATTTAAAAGGTTTTCATATATTAATAATAATATTAAATTTCGGGCATAGAACAAAAAAAAACTTAACCTTGACGCCATATTGAAATTAACCATAAACAATAATAATAATAATGATAATGATAATGATAATGAGATAAACTTATATTAAATAAAAATAAGTTAACAAATTCATCAAAATTGAATTTTTTTTAAATATTTATTTTATTCTTATTTTTATTTTATTTATTTTATTTTATTTTTTTTATTTAATTTTTAAAATTGTTTTTAAAAAAATAAATAAATCATGTCACGTGATCGAAATAAAAAAGGGAGATTTCTGTTTTTTTTACTATTATTATTATTATTATTATTAATGATTTTTTTTTTTTTTTGCGCGCGCGTGTAAATTTTCAGCAAAAGATTTCCCGATGAACACGTTTAAAAAAAAAAAAAATAAAATAAAAGAAATATATGTAAATGTGACAACAATCAATTTATATGAAATAGATTTTGTTTGTTTGTTTGTTTGTTTGTTTGCTTGTTTGTTTGTTTTCTTTTCATTTATATATATATTTATATACATAAAAAAAAAATCCATAAGGACAAAGAAAAAAAAAAAAAAACACAACAATACAATATACTCTCGAGCAAACTCGCGCACATACGGACAGACAGACAAACGCACAGACAGACGCTCACGCACACACGCACACACACGCACAATGATTACTTGCATTTCTTCTTTTTTGGACATTTGGGTGGACATTGACCGCATCTATATTCTTCTTCTTCGCTCAGGCATTCCCTTGATAAATTAAGACACCTGCAAGGATCGACACCTAATTTCCTATTGTGATCATCGTCAGAGAAATCGCACGATTCGTCTACGCTTTCTTCGTCGCAAATGGAAACTTCTTCTTCGCGATCGCACGATGGTTGAGGATCGTCATATTGTTTAGCTATACGATAACAATCGTTTTTTTCGCATAGTATCCCTTCTACGACAGCATTGCAAAGTATGCTTTTTATATACGGTAACAATTGTTCGACGCTGCAACATCTTTTCTTTGCAATGAATTCACCGATTTCGCATGCTGTCACACCATTTTTCTCTTGTAATTTACATATGGCCGCTTGTATGAGATCGGCCAGTGTTACTTTCGGCTTGTTCGATACTCTTGTACACATAATTTTACCTTGCAAATAAGTTGGAGTAGGAGGAGGAGGAGGAGGAGGAGGAGGGGGGAGGAGGGAGGACTAAAGGGAAAGAGAAAGAAAAACCAAAAAAAAAAAAAAAAAAACAAGATATTAATTATTAAAATAAATAATAATAATAATAATAATAATAAATTTTTACGTTGTTGTTTGTTGATTGATTGACTGATTGATTGATTGATTGATTGATTGATTGTTTTATAATTTCGATGATTTTTTATCAATATTATTTATATATGTACATATATACGTATGTATATTATCCGTTTTCCGTGTTAATTATTTTTACGAAAAATTTTCTAAGGTGCGGTAACGAAAAAGAGAGAGAGAGAGAGAGAGAGAAAAAATTAAATAATCGAATAAAACTTTTTTAAACCAACTAATTAAAATTTTGTGACATTTTTTTTTTTTTAACTATAACAATCATTGTTTTTATTCACTTGTTTAATTAGAAATTTTTTTTATATTTTTATGCTTCTATGGCAACCGTTTAAAATGAGGAAAAAATAGAACGGACATAGTAGGCAAATTGTATTACGCGTGATACCTCCTTTATCATTATTATTATTCTCGTTTCCTTTTTTTATAAACAAAGCTGTGGAAAAAATCGAAAAAATGTTATGAAAACATTTTTATTTGTTGTGAATTTTATTAATAATAACAATAATAATAATGAAAGGTAATTTTCAAAGTACGATAATATGATATGTATCGAATCATCATCGGAAACCATCGACCATTTAATTTCCGGTTGTTCGATATTGGCAAAACATGAGTATCCGGAAAGGTAACCTAAAAATTTGTCAATATTTCCATTGGAATATATGCCGAGAATATGGAATGAATGGATTACCCATGGAGTGGTACAAACACATGCACACTTCTGTATGATCAACAAATCCACACTGACAGAACTGTGCCAGCCAACAAACCGGATATAATCCTCAGACATAGTACCGGAAAATGGTGTAAACTGATTGAAGTATTCGTGCCGGCGGAAAAACACACCAAACAGCCAAAGAAGCGGAAATAGTCAGGATGTGGGGAAAGTAAAGGCAGAAACTATTCATCGGTCATCGTTGGAGAATGATTGGGAGCCATGATGCCACATTCAAAAGTAAAAATAATAATAATAATAATAAATTCTTTTTTTTAAAATGGCTGATGTTGTTTTTATTTTTAATTAAAATTAATTAATTAATTGTACGTACAATGTAAATGAGCCCGCGCGCCCCCCTCCCCGCGAAAACAAAAAAAAAACAAATTTTTTTTATACACAATCACACACTCACGTAACAACGTTCTTAATTATTATTATTATTTTTATAATTATTACTATCATTATTATATTTATATGTACAGTTATTATTATTATTATTATTGTTTCGCGTAAAAATTGTACTCCTTTGATTTTTTTTTTTTTTTTAACCAAAGTTTTTTTTTTTTTTTTTACGGCGACGATGATTTGGCAACGTTCGGTTGTAATAAATTAATTAAAAAATTATCCGTTCGCGCCGAACATCCGAACCGGAGATTTGAGCAACAACTCACATCTTAACATTTAAAAAAAAAAAAAAAACACTTTGGTTGACTTTGTTTGTTTGTTTGTTTGTTTTCCCCACCCCATCCACCTCCCTCGTTTTATTAAAACGAACGAATTTTATTCCTTATTCCGCCACTGACTTCTTTCTCTCTTTTTGTTCTCTCGTACCCGATTCATTTCGTTTTTATTTCTTATTGTTGTAATCGACGTAAACTCTCACGACTTCGCCGGAATATTTCCTTTGGGAAGGCATGAAATAAAAATCGGGTTGGAGTTCGCTGTGGGGACGATGAGTGTAGTATCCAGGATATTGAGCCGGAGCGTGTGTGGTTCTCGGAAGGGAATAAGTACTCCTTTCCGGTGCCATGTTAAGAGTGTATCCACCTCCACCTCTGGGTCTTTGCAATGATTTCGAATCACCGTAACCGTTATTGTGATGATGCATTGTCGGAACTTTCGGGGGTGGACCGGATGGGGGATTAGGTCTCGTCGACATGGGAATGTTTCCGCCGCCCACGCCTCCTCCTCCTTTTCCGGTTGTTATTTTCTCTTCGGATTCGTATGCTTCGAACGCGTAATTCGTATTTGCGGCCGAATAATCTTTCCATGCTGAATTTGGTATGAGTTGTTCCTGAAATATAAGAAAAAAAAAAAAAAAAAATGGACAAATTTTCAATTTTTTCTTCTTCTGCTTTTTTTTTTATTTTATATAAACTCATCATGCTTTTATTAATGATAATGATAATAATAATAATAATAAATTTTTAAACAAAAGAATAGAAAACGGTACTAAAACGTTGTTACTTTAAAAAAAATTTACTTACCCTTTGACCCCTTCGTTTAAAAAAAACAACAACAAACCGTAACAAACAGCAAAATATACAGCCGGAAGTATTGTTTATGTACAAAACAGAAAAACCAAACCTAATTAAAAACCTTTTTCATTCAACTCACTACTACCAACTTTATAAAAAAAAAAAAAACCATTTTCTTTCTGTGATATATATATTATTAATATCCTCAACCTGTTCCCACAAAATCAATTACCAATTATCAAAAAAAAAAAAACAAAAACCACGTGACACAAGCATGATAAGAGAAACAGACGACAGGAAACGAGAAAAAAAAAAACGAAAAGAAGAAAAAAGAAAAGAGAAAAATTGATTAATCGATTAAAATAAAATAAAAAATAAAAACACAAAATTTTTGGGTTATTATGCTTATTACGATGATGATGATGATGATGATGATTATAATGATAATTACTATTATTATTATTACGATGATGACGATGACGATGAGGATGACGATGAGGATGATGACGTATGATGATGATGTCACAAATATTATGACGCTCACCCCTCACTGAACGGCCTTTCTTTTTTATATTTTTATTATTATTATTATTATTTTTTCTACCACTGAGTCCAGCTGTTTGGAGCCGGTCCTGGACCGTAAACGGTTCGGTTGTGACCCCACTGTTGAACCCCGTTAGAATGATATTGACTTTGCGTTCCGAGTGGTAACGCGTACACCCTCTAAATGGATCAATAATAAATATCCGAACGATCGTAATTAGACTCAAACATACAAAATTAATTTAAATTTAAATTTAAATTTTTTTTTTTTTCTAGCGTAAAGCAATTATTATTATTATTAACTACATTGATGACGTTTATCGATTTCTTTCCCTCTTTTTTCTACCCCTATCGAGACAAAAATCTCTCCACCTTTTTTAATCACCATCCACAATTTTTTTTTTTTTTTACGGTTGGTAAATATACAATTCACGCATTAAACGCGTATACATGCGTGACGCATCAACCCTGACATCTGTCGGTGGTAAGTGACAAAACGTGACAATATATATATATATATAATATATAGGAGGTTAGACAAATTTCTTTATAGATAGATACATCAAGAAACTACTCTACAGTTAAGCCAATTATTATTTCTATAACTTTACGCCGTCTCTCTGTTTTATCTCATTAATTGATTTTTTTTTTTTTTTTTTACGGTTGGCAATTCTGTTTTTTTTTTCGCGATTTTAACGAATCCTCATTCTTAAATAAAAAACAGAATTACCAACCGATTTGTAGCAAAAAAAATTTATAAATAACTAAATAAATGTAAGATGGAAATGATATGATATGATAGCTCACCTTGTGATTGGACGAAGAATTTCTCACTGTTTTGTATATCGTGCAAACTGCTTGTATGAATGCTATCACGACGAGTGCGATTATGCAACCTATGACGATGTATAATTTCGTCATTGAAAACCATTGCGAATCGGATTCCGTCACTGGAATCGATGACGTCACTGAAAAAAAAAAAGAAAAAAAATTAAATTTTGTTTGTCGTGTTATTTTTTGTTTGGGGGGAGGGAGGGGGATCGACACTTACGGGATTGAGGTTCGAAAACGAGATAATTTGGATCAACGTTTAGAGCACCCACTTGACCCGTGATCACGGTTTCTTCTATGGCTCTTTTAACGGTTTTTTCATCGTTTTTCAAAGCTCTTCCTTTTTCGTACATGGCCTTATCGAGAACGACGTTCATTTTGGCAACGACGTTACCTTCGTCACTGCAATCAATTTTATTATTATTATTATTATTATTAATGATATTTTTTTTTTGTTTTGCGATTATGTGCGACCACTCACTCTGTCAGGTCGTTGACTTCAATCTTATGAAATCCGGGCACGTTGCCTAAAATCCCTTCGAAATTGTTACCAATTTGATTTGACAGCGTATCAAAATCAGAAGTACCAGGAGGTGGAATTTTAAAATTTTCACCAAGGTTGACGAGCTTAACTTGCAAATTGTAGAAAAGCCGAGGTGGAGCAGGAGTGGTCAACATAATTTCATTATCTGAAATGTGACGTCAGAGACATGTAGAAAAAAAATTTTTTTTAAAAATAATCTCCCGGGATTTATCATTTCCTGGTATTTCGAAACTCACCGAAATCGCAGGGTTTGATGCAAATCCTTTCGGATGATATGACCGGTACGTGTTCGTGCCTTTTGATTTTCTTATTAACCGCGTTGAAAAATCCACCCTTGACCGGAAATTGAAAAAAGAAACATTTGTCGTTTGTGAATTGTATGTCTTTCGGATCGTTCGTTATTCTTTTTCTCACGAACGACAATATGGTCGCACCGTCGACGAATCTTCCGGTCGTGTTGTAAATGCTTTGAGTATCCACGAGTGGAGTGTTGTAATCGTGTATCCAAGTATCCATCAAAAAGGGACGACCGTTCTTTTCGACCCAACCTAAAATCGCATCCGTTTGCAACTGGACGACGACAACAGAATAAAAAAAAAAACATTTTTAACGGAAGAAACCTTCTCACGAAAAAAAAAAAGAAAAAAAAATTAACAAACCATTTTTTGATCGTCGGAAAATCCGATACCCGTCCAGGTATTCGTGTGAGTTGTTTCGATTGTAAATTTTATTTCGTCTTTCCTTGAAAAATATTCCCATTTGGCATAATATTCGCAATCGTGTTTTTTCGGACTGCAACTTTTCGGAGTTTTCCAAGAGCCCCCGCAATAAATGGGTTCATCCGGTTCTCTCTCCTCTGATTTTTTATCTTCTTCGTAAAAATTTAGATTTAAAAATCCTCTTTGATCTCCGTGACCGTGATATTTTAATTCGTCAGGTTTGTAAAACAACGGAACGGAAGCTTTATCCTTTTCCAAACCGGATTTAGGCACGTGATTGTATTCTCCTATTTCCTGTCCTCTCGCCCATATCACGTGCATCAAATCCTTTTCTATGGAATGATCCGTCGGTTCTTCAGCTGAAATCAATCATTAATCATCATCATCATCATCATCATTGAAAAACGCAATAAAAATCGTTCGGATGTGCGGAAAATTTCTTTTTTTAGCGTCGTCGTGACGTAGAACGCAATAATAATAATAATACATTTTAATTCTCGTGCGCGTGCGCGATTATTTTTTTTATTTTCAATTACATAAAATAATTGAAAATAAAAAAAATTTTAATAAATAAATCATCAATAAGATAAAAAAAAAAAAAAAAAAAAATTATTTTGTAATTCTTCGGAATCCAGTTAATCCGGTTCCAGAATTATTGGGCTCGGTTTTTTTTTTTTTTTTCTTAATAATCCATAACCCGGCCTTGGCTTTCACTGTTTTTTTTAACGCTCGGTATTTATTATTATTATTATTATTATTATTATTATTATTATTATTATTATTATTATTATTATTATTATTATTATTTTTATATTAAAAAAAACATTAACGAAGGTGGTTTAACATGTACAAAATAATAATAATAATATTAATCGAACGGAAAGGATTATGATGCGTGCATACCTGCGAGACGTTTTCTGAACACTATGACGGTCGTGTTGTTCCTTTCGTATCCCATGGCACCCGTCAAATCGTTTTTACCTCCCCAGAATGTGTCCAATCTAGGAGTGGATCTATCTCTCGTGTAATAATCCCATATTCTGCTTATGTTTCCTCTTGCCATACCTATGACGATATCCGTGCAATCCATCGGATTGAAATCGTGACGTGGAGTGTATGGATTAAGAACGTATTGTTGTTTATCTTCGGTTGCTGTTGGAAAATTTAAATCAAAGGTCATCAAAAAAGGAAGAAAATGATTCGACAAAGGAAAAAAAAAAAAATTTCCTTATTCTATCTAATATTGACCCCCTCCGTCGTGTGCGTGTGCGTATTCGTATCGATAAAAAAAAAAAAAAATGGGAATGTTGATGACCTTTTATCAGGTTTTGTTCTTGTCTTTTAATCAGGACAAACTCTTTTAAACTATAACGTTTCGGTGTGATTATTATCCAAGGTCACTAATTATATATAATAATAATAATAATTTTTAATTAATATCGTCCATGCGTTGTTCAAATACTACGTTTAAAACAAAAAGTGTGTGCGTGTGTGTGTGCGTGAGTGCGCGTGCGCGGGGAGTGCGTTATGACTTTACACGATTTTTATTAGGCAAACATAAAACAACCGTACAAAAGAAAAAAATTATTTTACACAATTACACGCATATATACGTACGTACGTACGTGCGTGTGAAAGAGTGAGTGATTACGTTTCGCAAACGAATGAGAGAAAGAGAGAGAGAGAAGATGGGAGGAAAGATGAGAGAAAAGAGAGAAGAATAAATAATGAATGATTATAAAAATCTTCTTTCACTGATAAAATTTTCTCACGGGTGTATGTGAGGAATTAGTTTTATTTTATTATTACCTTGGAAGAACACATCACTTCACTTTTTTTTTTTTGAAAATTCACCTCCAGGCTCTTTTCAATGTAATTTTTTTTTTTTTTTGTACAACAAACGTGAATCACATAGAAAATGTTTTTTTCTTACGAGAAAATGACGTGCAAAAATTTTTTTTTTTTTGGAACTTTCGTGGCATGTAAACAAACAATGCATGGAGTTTTACACTTGACTTATCCAAACTTTCACTGGACAAATGAATTATTATTATTATTATTCGAAAACATCAATAATCATCAAAGTGGAATTGATAATAATAATAATAATAATAGTAAAATTGCGGTTGTTTGTGTTGCCTAAAGGTACGTGTAAGAAGAAGAAAAAAAAAAATCCTTAGCGCGCTTCCTATTGTTTTTAAATACGTAGTTAAAGTAGTAGTAGACCAGTACTTGTATGGGTTGTTGTTGTTGTTTGTTAAAATACGAAAATACGTACCCGTGGATTTACCTTCTTTTTGTTTAGTTGCGGACTCATTCTCGATTTTAGGTTTAGATTTGGGCTCGGGCTCCGACTTAGGCTCAGGTTCTGATTTAGGTTCTGGTTCGGATTTTGGCTCGGGCTCGGATTTTGGTTCCGGTTCTGATTTCGGTTCGGGTTCGGATTTTGGTTCTGGTTCCGCGGATGGCTCGGGCTCGGCTTTAGGTTCGGGCTCGGCTTTGGGTTCCGGTTCGGCTTTCGGTTCAGGTTCAGCTTTAGGTTCAGGCTCGGCTTTGGGTTCTGGTTCGGCTTTAGGTTCTGGTTCGGCTTTGGGTTCAGGCTCTGCAGCCGGCTCTGGCTCAGCCTTAGGTTCGGGCTCAGCTTTAGGTTCTGGTTCAGCTTTAGGTTCGGGCTCTGCTTTAGGTTCTGGTTCGGCTTTAGGTTCCGGCTCTGCTTTAGGTTCTGGTTCGGCTTTAGGTTCCGGCTCAGCTTTAGGTTCTGGTTCGGCTTTGGGTTCAGGCTCTGCAGCCGGCTCAGGCTCGGCTTTAGGTTCGGGTTCAGCTTTAGGTTCGGGCTCTGCTTTAGGTTCAGGTTCAGCTTTAGGTTCGGGTTCGGCTTTAGGTTCCGGTTCGGCTTTAGGTTCGGGTTCGGCTTTAGGTTCGGGTTTTGGTTCAGCTGTGGGTTCGGGTACTGCTGTGGGTTCTGGTTCACTTTTAGGCTCCCCTCTTGATTCATCTTCTTTTTTCCCTAATAAAATAAATGTGCAAAAAGTGTTTTTTATTGAAAAAGTACCAATCACCAAAAGAACTGTATAAAAAAAAAATTACAATATGAGGAATATTAATTTACAATTGAATCCGTATTTTTTACTCAAAAAAATTTTTTCCCCGGTAATTTAGTATAAGAAACGATATTTGATAACGGGAATACGAAAAAATTTCATGATTTTTTTTTAACCGGAAATAAATTGACATTCTTTCAGCAGTGCATAAGGCAAACAATAATCTCTCTCTCTCACTCTCTCTTTCTTTCTCTCTTTAACTTTTTTATACAAATCTATGGCGGTTTTATATGTGTTATTAACCGAACGATACCCATGCATTTAATACTATAATATACATAATATCTCGATATGTTACAAACTTAAACCGGAAGAAGATAAAAACTACAACGTACAACGAACGTTACGTATATATAATTTTTTAAAAAAATATTTACTACTACGTTTTCGATAATGTTCTAATAGTGTTTCGCGGGGGAGAGAGAGAGAGAGATAGAGAGAGAGAAAATCGAAAGTCAATTTTATTCCAGTTTAATTAATCGAGATGGAGTTAAAAAGAAGTGCTGACAACTTTTCAGCATCGAAAATAAAAAAAAAAATAATTTTTTTTTTTTGCTTTTTACAAGGCCTCAGTCATGCTTGACGAGAGAACGAAAAATTATTTACGAGCATCAGATGTTAAAGAGAGCGTTAAATTGACTTTTTTATTATTAACACATCATCTTACCTTGAGACGTCGGCTCGGGTTTTGGTTCTTCTTCGGCTTGTCTTTTCCCTCTGGATGCAGTCACTCTATAGGATACGCTCGTTTCCACGGCTTCTTCTTTATTAGGTGGATCAACTTTGGCCGCTCTCGAAGATACGGATTTTTGACGAGGTTTAAAACGATTTCTGAACGCGGATTTTGCGGTCGTTGTAGTCGTCGTCGTGGGTTCAGGTTCGCTCGTAGGTTCCGGACTACCTTTCGGTTCAGGTTCGGATTTGGGTTCTCCTTCTGCCGTCGGCTCGCTCGAAACCGTTATCACGTCTTGTTTGACTTTGTCATTTTTATCAATTATTTCCGGAAAGTTTTTACATTCCGGAGTCAAGGATCGCGGTCTCCAACCGATGGCTGCGTAACTCGTACCTTTCACAACCATGGCAACTTCGATTTCTTTTTCTTCTTTGAGAATTCTCCAGTACAACGTGAATCTATCGCTTAAATCTCTTTTCGTATACAAATCGAAATCGATATCGATGGATTTTATAGGGGACCCTGCAAAAAAAAAAAAAAAAAAATTTCTCGTAGAATTTTCGATGATTTTTACATTTCAACAATTAATACATACTTTTCGTGCAGGCTGGTCCGAACCATCCCAATTCACAATAGCATTGCTTTCTAGGTGCCGTCGTCGCTTCGACATCCACGCATTTTCCTCTGTCACCGCAATCTCCATCTCCGATACATTCATCTCTGTATTGACACCTTGGACCGTAATACAATCTATCGCAACGACATTTGTTAAGCATGTGCCTTCCGTGACCGCTGCAGTTTTCTTTGAATTTATTAGCTGAAATTACATGCCCTTCATGATAATAATAATAATAATAATATCGCATTTATTCATTTTTTTAAAAACTAAATTTAAAAAAAAAACTTATCGATGGTAATAATTTAGTACTAAACACTCTCACTTGTCCTTTCGCACGTAAAATTAAAAAAAAACGTTATTTCGCCGCCGCCGCCGCCATTTTTAATTATTCACAACGTTAAAAAATAATTTATCCAACAAAATATTTAAACTTTCTAATTTATTTTCAACACAATTTATAAAAAAAAAAAAATACTAATTATACATTTAATTAAATCCGTTTAAAGTATTCTATGGTTTTATAAAAAAAAAAAAAAACGTTTTTCGAAATGATCACGCGTGCGCGTGCACGTGCACACACGCAAGCCGCGTGTCTTTAACCTAAAATAAAAAACGTTAATTATTTACGTACCTGGTTTTATATCGACATCAGCACACGACCAAAACCTATAACCGCTCGACCATTCGCTAGCTTGTCTCAAAAGTCTTATCGTGCAGTCTTCGCAAAAAAAATCAGGTGGCAATTGTACCTGATACGATTGAGCCGTCACGTCGGTTTTAACAAATTCAGAATCTGATGTTACCGGTGTCAAATCGAGTACGGGCCTTTCCAAACTATCCAACACCTGAAGTTTGTAACCTCCCTGTAAAAAAAAAAAAAAAAAAATCGTGATGAAATCATTTTTTTTTCCCAACGGAAAAAAACGGACGGATATATTGAGGGAGGGGGGGTTAAACCGGAAATAAAAAATTTTATTTTACGTAATGACCGCTAGGTGGAAGTGCGCGCGCGCGTGAGGAGGAAGAAGGTGTAAATTACGATCAATCTTTTTTCGTTGTTTAGGTTGTCGATTCTGTCGAAATGAAAATAAGGAAGTGAAAATAATAATAATAATAATAATAATAATAATCGCTTTAGGATAAATAAATAAAAAAAAAATTTAATTTTTCTCATTATTATTATTATTATTATTATTATTATTATTATTATTATTATTATTATTATTATTATTATTATTATTATTATTATTATAAATGAATTTTAAAGTTTCGTAATAATTTTTTTTGATATCAAACAAACACCGAATAGTAATGAATTAACCTAAGAATTAACTTTCCCTTTTTTTTAGGCACCAAACAAAATTTAGCACAAGTTTTTTTTTAAAAAAAAAAAAAAAAACAAATTTAATAATAATAATAATAATAATAATAATAATAAAAGAATCAGGTGGTTTTGATCTTAGCCACGTTCGTTTCTTAATATTTTAAATATTTTTTTTTGATAATTATTATTATTATTATTATTATTATTATGTCATTTTAATACCTCTAAGGTCTCGAGGAAAGTGTATCACTATTAACTTTTTCTTCTAATTCTGTTATCACCATAAATCATTAACCGACATTTATACGGGTTTTTTACTCAATGTGCGTGTGCGTGCGTGCGTGTAAAAACGCGTACTTTTCATTATATATATATTTTAATTTATAGAAAAAAAAAAAAAAAAAAAACTCGAATTAAAATCATCGCCTAGATAAAGAGAGAGAGAGAAAATTATGTCACTTTAATGGATTTTTATTATTATTATTATTATCATTTGGGTCATTTTAAAATCTTAATTTTAAATTAATATATATATATATATTTAATTTATGACGTAACGATGACGTATAGCAATCTAAGTCGCAAAATATTATTATTTAAATTATATCGATCGACATTTTTTTTTTTAAAATAATAATAATAATTAACTTATAAAAATAATTACGTGTTCGATGGACGAATTCGTTTTTTTTTTTTCTTCCTCGATCGTCACGTAACCGTTTTTTTTTTTTAAATTTAACGGTAGTGCCAACGAAAAAAAAAAAAATTTCTCCGCAAGAGCGCGCGCGCGCGAGAGCGACAATAACAAAAACTCTTTCGCACACGATATAAATATTAATTTTAAAAAAAAAAAAAAATTTATTTTGAAATGATATAGTTAAACAAAATGGCGACGACAACAAGACGAATTTATTAAATTATTGCCTTTCGTTAAAAAAAAAAATGAGGAAAAAAAAAAAACAAAAAACCGCGACCGATTATTTTATTCAGCCGAAGGACAACAAAAAAAACCATAAAAAAATATTCGGGGGGGGGGGACAGGGGGGAGGGGAAATAATAATATTTTTTGGAAAAACTCGTTTTTTTTTTTTGATTTATCGATAGATCGAATCGTCATTTTCAATCAATCACATAATCAATACTCGCATAAAGTTTTTTAACTACTTCAAAATTCAATTTCGTGACGTATTTCATACATTCATCCATATTGAAAACAACTCATTTTTTTTTTTAACGGACGACGACACAAACTTATTAAATTAAAAAAAAATTAATTAATTAAAAAAATGATTATTACTCAATCGATTGGATTCGATCAATAAATTATAATTAAAATAATTGACGGTTGCGTGCCAATTTACCACACACGTGACTACTGAAAAATTATTTACGCATTTTTCATTTTAAAAGTAATTCGCATACAGTTATTATTATTAATTAATACAACATCACAATCGCACTAAATTAGTAGTAGTGGAAGTAGTAGTAGTAGTAGTAGTAGTAGTGGTGGTAGTAGTATTTTGTAGTAGCATTTGATGTTAACAAACTGCACATTATAATTCATTAAATATACGGGTTGGAAAAACTTTCTCATGTGCAATCAATAAATCGAGAGTAGTAGTAGTAATAGTAGTGGTAGTAGTAGAATCGATTGTAGTTATTGTAGCGTATTAAACGAGTAGGTAATTAATAATGCAGTAGTTGGCAACACTTGTAAAATTATTTATAAAAAAAATATATTATTTACTTTTATAAGAACGAGAGAGAGAGAATTAATTTTTCACGCTCATCGCAATCGAAAGTTTAATTTATATTTAAAAAAAAAAAAAAAACCGGAAATGAGTTTTTAAAGTAACGGAATTTTTCTACGTCATATTATAATAATAATAATAATATTTTACTTCGTCGCAATCGCGGGGGGAAAAATAATAATAATAATAATAATAATTTCGTTAATTAATCAATTTTTTTTTTTTTTAAATTTTATTGACGAGGTAAAAAATTATAATAAATTAAGGAGTGGCTCGTGGAACTAGAAAAATTAAAAATTGCCTTCGAATTGATTAATAATTAACGTTCGTTATTTAATTTAATTTAAAATTTAACGTTTACAAATGAATTAATAAAATAATAATAATAATGATGCGGAAGCTGTTTTAAAAAAAGGGTACGTTAAAAAAAAAAAAAAAGATACTATTCAAATAGTGAAAATCGTTTCGTACGAAAAAAAAAAATTAGACAGATACGGTCCTGCCGAAGCTGTCGCAATAATAATAATAATAATAATAATAAATTTTTTTCCGCCAGGGAAATTTAAATTTGTAAGAAAAAAAAAAGAGAGAAAGTTTCCGCGGTGGTTGACTACAACAAACACGCACACATACACGCACAAACACACGCACAACAAACACTTTTTTTTCCAATATTAAAATTTAAACGCGATTACGTAATTTTATTATTAAATAATAATAATAATAATAATAATAATAATAATAATAAAAAAACCCGCATTCTTGTGCAGTCGCGAGTTCCGCGACTTTGCTTTTTCAATCGCGTGTTTGTTCGACCGTCTTTTTTTAATTTAATTAATTAAATCCCGAGGGAAGGAGGGGAGGCGGGGAAGTAATAAAATCATTAAGAACCTTTTTTTCAACGCTGCATTTTTTTAAACGGAAAAACGCGCGTAAGAACGCACGCGTCCGAATATTTAAAAAAAAAAATAATAATAATTTAATTATTTCGATACGAAAACTTTCAAGGTTTTTTTTTTTTCTTTCATTTTATAAAAAAAAAAAAATTTTAATTGCTTCGCGTTTATTATTATTATTACGCCCGCGACGATTCAGTAACTAAAAAATAATAATAATAATAATAAAACGACCGACTTACTTGGTAACAAATAAATAAATAAATAAATAAATAAAAAACCCATTAAAATAATTAAATCGCACGATTCCATTAATAATGATAATGATAATAGTTTTTATTGATATAAACATTTTTATTATTATTATTATTATTAGTAAATTTTTTTTTCTTTCCCCCATTTAACGCGCGTTTTAAATGCGTGGCACGAGAATTTTAAACATATCGTCAAGGCGTGACATACACCCAATCACTTTTTTTTTTTTTTTTTTTTTTAAATTTAAAATGTCCTCCTCCGGGATAAACGCGAACAAACTCATTAATATTTATTATTGATTTCCAATATTACAAAAAAAAAAAAAAAATATGGATTTTGTCATAAACCTTGAGCCGTTGAAGAACGGATATTAACCGACCGACCGACCTACGAACTTCCGGCAAGGTCGATATTTTCTTAATCCTTCAAGCCAATTTATTATTATTATTATTACAACTACTACTAATAATAATAATGATAATGAAACGTATTGCGAAAGGCAAAAAAAAAAAAACTGAAAAAAAAACAAAATGAAACTCACCCTGTGCGAATAAGCTAAATGCCATGTTACGTTAAATGTAGAACCCGCGAGGAGAGTCGTTTTTATGTTCCCTGAAACAAACAAACAAACAATCAAAAAATTACAATTTACAAACAAACAAACATTTTTCCTTTTTTTCGTATCACTTTTTCATTTACGTGATAAAAATTTCATAAATTTGTTGTTAACGCGACATTTTTAGTAAAAACAAACCTTTGGCAGGTTAAAACGTTTGTTATTAAGGAAAAAAAATCGGACGAGGCCCACGTGTCCAAAAAAACCAAACAAAATTTTAACACGTGCATAAATTTACATTTAAAAAAATGGCAAACGACAACTTTTAACAACAACAACAACGACAATAAGGGGGGGGAGAGGGACAATTTCGATAAAGTTAATAAAATTTTATAATTCAAACCCTTGCAAAAAAAAATAATGAAAAATATCGAAAATGGCGATATTGTATCGTAATAATAATAATCATAATAATAATAATAATGATAATAATGAATCGATTATAAAAAAAAAAAATTTTTGGCAAAGAATCCATTTCACGTTTTTGGACATGTGCCACGCAAGAAAAAATTCGGACGAGGAAAAGGGAAAAAACAAAGAAAACTTTTGCCTTTTCCAAACATATTCGATACTAACTCACGATTCGATTCGATTCGATTCGATTTATTGGCAATCAAATAAAGGTGTAAAAAAAAAAAAAAAAAAAAAATTTCGTTAATTGTAATTTTTGGATACGAGAAAAACGCCTCGAGTCTCTTCTTCACCTACATTATAAACAAATTTTTTTTTTTTTGAATGATTTGTGCCACTCCTTTACGACGACGTAATTTTTTTTTTTTTTTTTTTTTTGACAAACCTAAAATTAACGCATTAATAAAACCTACAATACAATTATTATTATTATTATTATAAAATTGACATTATTATTATTATTATTACTATTTCGTAATGTTAAAAAATTCACGTGCGGTTTTACGTAAAACCTATCATTACTATATTATTTTTTGAGTTTGAATGAAATTAATTAAATTTATTAAAGGTACGTTAAAGAAAACCTGATGGAAAGGTAAAAAAGTTCATCCTTTGAGTGTGATACCTGACAGGTTGTGTGAGAGAACGTTCGTCATAACAAAAACAAAAAAAAAATTTTTTTTTCTATGATTTTTACAGGCGCTTGAAAGAATGGCAAAAATAAAAACTTCCGACAACATTACAAACAACAGGAACGACAGGAACGACAACGACAACAACAACAACAATCAATTAAAGATTTACGCACGCACACCTGGCGTACCTTAAATTCTTACGTCGAGTAAATAAAAAAATTCACAATCACGTAAGTTATTTATTTTTTTACGCAACCATTTTTTTTATTTCACCTGCCTTTGGAGTTTTTGTTTGTTGTTGGTTGTTGTTGTTGCAAAATATCACTGGCAGCTTATTGAGTGAATAAATTCCACATTCTTTCATCATCATCATCATCATCATCGCCGCCGCTTGGATTTTTTATTGGAATATTCATTAGATTTTTAACAACAAATCTTTTCGCAACGTTAATTTATATCGATATCCTTTACGAACGAACGTCTCGTGCATTTTCATAGAAAATTAATTCACAACTTTACCTTTCTCTCTCTCTCTCTCTCTCTCTCTCTCACTCTTTCTCTCTCTCTTTTGATCGTTAGCATTTTCTCGTTTCAAAATAGGAAAGAAAAAAAAAAGGACGTTCAAGTGTGATACTTAATTTGAATTTAGTGGTTAAATGAGTGGTTGTTTGTTTTAATTCCGAAATTCAGGTTCGGAGCAGAAGAAAGAGAGAGAGAGAGAGGGGGGGGAGAGGGGGGGGAAGAGGGAGGGATTCGCATAAAAAACCATAATTGCAAATCAACCACCGTCGGTAAGAATAAGGATAAAACCATTCAAGCATAAATTCATTCATAAAAAAAGGGGGGGAACTCGGGGAAAACTTTCGCGAGAAAAAATCAAAAAAAAAAAATATCAGCGACAAATATTTCACCGCCTTCTTTTATTGTCGTCACTTTCAAAAACGTCAAATTTTTATTCGTTTCTTAACAAGTAACTAAAAAACTAAAAAAACGAGAAAAAATGGCTTCCGGCTACATATCAAATCAAAATAAATTATTTTATTTTAAAAAAAAATATGGAATTATTCAATCGCAATCTTTTTAAATAATAATAATAATTATAAATGACGTCGTCGATAAATCGATACTTTTAATTATCGACTTGCTACCGGTGACGATAATAATAATAATAATAATATAAAAAAAAAGTACATTCCTTTTTTTCACACGGTACCGATCGATCGATACGTCAACCTCATTTGCAAAAAAAAAAAAAAGATGGCTGTCAATTTAAAAATATTTTTTTTTAAAGAGAGAAAGAGAGAAAGAGAGAGAGAGAGAGAGAGAGAATAATAACAAAATTGTTTCCTTTTAATATTATTATTATTCATTTATTTCAAAGTAAACCGTAAAAAAAAAAAAAAAATCCTCGAGGGAAAGAGAGAGAAAAAACCTTGAAACTAATTCGTAATAAGTGTTGCCAACCCAATCAATGAGCAATAAAATCAAAAGTGGCAGGAACCCAAATGAAAATTTCCAAAAAAAATTACTATCATTGATTTATCGTTAACGGTCGTCGTCGTCGTTTCGGTCATGTTGTAACCAGTTTAAAAAAAAATTTTTTTTTTTTTCAGGGTTGAATTTTCATTTTAAATCGTAAACTAATGAATTTAATATTAATTAGTTTTTTTTTTTTTTGTTACTTTCTCTACCACGTTGAACTGGATTTACTGGCTTACATTGTCGCTTTTTTTTTTTTTTTTTAATTTCTTGCCAATAACCAAGTACCGAACACCGAAAATACGATTTTAAAAAAAATTCTAGACCACCCAAAAGTGAATGAGAAATTTAAAAAAAAAAATGACGAGTGACACTTTTCATCAAAAATCGCTTTTCTTTCTTTCTTACTTTTTGTCCGAGTTTTTAATGATTACAAAAACAAAAAAAAACATGCGTGAACGCGCGCGTTTTTCATACGTCATCATTTAGATTCTCTCCAATAAAAAATTCCAAAAATGGAGGTAAAAAAAAATTTTTTTATTCAAGTTGTAACAATCCAAGACATCGACACCGTAATAAAAATAAATAAATAAATTGCACAAACTATTATTATCATTATTATTATTTTTGTTACGTAATATTAATACGTCACCGTGACGACGATTATAATTACCTCGATATCGTCGACGGTAATAATTTTTTTTTTTTTTTTAAGATTAGCAGCCATAAAGCGTTCGCATATTTTTTATTTATTTTTATTACTTTCGAACGGATCGAATAAAAAAAAAATTTATTTCGCGGTGACGATTTAGATGACGTCAGTGTCACGCCAACGTCACGCCGATCTTATTATCAGTTCGAGTCGACCCATTTTAATATGGCGAAATTAATGAATGAGGTGTCGCAAAGGACGTTTCCTTTGTTTATTGTATGAATACGCATGCGTGTCACCCCTCCAGACGAGTGTCAGTAAATCTTTTTTTTTTTTTTTTTCCAAGCCGTGAACAAACCGTAGGGGGTTTCATTACGCGCCCCCCGCGTTCTACCTATCCCCCTTCCCTCCTCCCTCCCCCGCACCCGTTTAAACCATTGTTAAAAAATTATCAGACCAAAACGCGAACGTTTAGCGAGAAAGGAAGCCATAACCGACTTTAACCGAGTAAAAAATAATAATTAACGAAAAACTGGAATAAGATGGCCGTTCGTTGGCAAATAGTTTTTTTTTTTTTTTTTTCCATGATTTCTGATTTACGCATGCGTGCGTGCGTGCGTTTAAATCTTCCGGGAAAATGCGTCGTAATTAACGTCACGCAATTAAATAAATTTAAAAAAAAAAATAAATTATTGCGACTACGGGGGTGGAAAAAATTAATTGTTCGATAAATTTTTTTTTTTGCATTTAACAAGCAATGAAAAATTTCCCAAAATTTAAAACCTAGAGAGAGAGAGAGAGCGGGGGGAAAAGAGAGAGACGGTTAAACGTGGTACAAGACGAGAGTACCCGACACTTGTTGTAAATTTTACTAACAGTACCAGTAGCCATGATACTTTCTCTTTAAATTAAATATATATACGTAGCGATACGAGGCCGTGCCTTGTTGTTAAGTTCACGTTAACTCGGTCATAAAAATAAAATAAGAGATCAATGAGAGAGAGAGAGATAGACAGAGAAAGATTTTTAAAAAAATCTATCATTTGTTTTTTCCCGTTATTATTATTATTATTATTATCAAAGAAAAGAGAAAAAAAAAATTAAATTTTTTTAATTTACGGTAATCAAATCCGTCAATTATTTACTCACGTTTAAAGCTTCGAGGTAGAAACCGAACGAAAATAAAAAAAAAAAAAATTTTTTTGACGTTAATTGACGTGAAAAAAAAACAAAATGGCGGAAAAGGGAGGAAACCCTTAATATATTATCGTTCTCAACGAAAATTTTCAAAAGACGAACGGAAATCAAGAGGAAAAAACAAAAAGGAAATTTAAAAAATGAGATAGATAGAGATAGAAAGAGAGAGAGAGAGAGAGAGAGAAAAGCCCTTAAGCAAATAGAAAACGTTACGAACGAACGAGAGAAATAAAAAAAAAGGAAAGTAACAAATGTGTAACTTTTTTTTTTTTTTTTTTTTAACAAGTGGTTACAAATTCAATAAATACTAATAATAATAATATATAAACATTACGTAACATTATTATTATTATTATTATTATTATTACTATTAATAAACGGACTGAACGTAAGAAACGATCACGTGTTCGATTCATTCCGACTAACGTATAAAAAAAAAAAAATTATTTAAGAAAAAAATAAAAACATTTTTTTGTTGTTGATATCGTCGGTAGCCATTTTGAAATTATCATAAAATGAAATTTCGAAAGTAACAAACAATTTCACAAAAAAAAAAAAAAACTATTTTATTATTACGAACAAAAATATTTATTAAAGTACGAGAGAGGGAGAAAGAGAACAATCATCCATCGACGAACAAACAAACAAACAAACGTATTTACAACAAACTCTCCTTTTTTACTTTTTTATTTTTTTTTTAAATTAGTATTTGTCAAATTTAAAGCACGCGATATCAATAATAATAATAATAATAGAGAAGAAGAAGATTATAGTAACAGAAAAACTTTTACTCGTTTCGTTAAATAAAAAGTAATAAAATGTTTAAGGGATTAACAAAAAGAAAGAAAGAAAGAAAGAAAGAAAAATTTCAAGGCGTTCAGCTTTTGCTTCGTGTGACATTTACAAATTCCAAGAGCGTTATAAAAAAAAATAAAAAATAAATTTTCAGGGCCGTAACCGTCACGAACCTTTCCCCGATGTATCATTCGGTATTGTTCGGTAGTTTTATATGATAAATGGAATAATAATAATAATACTACGCACGTGTTATTGTACAAAACATAAGAAGAGAACAAAACAAAAAAAAAACGAAAAAAAATTACCGTCGATTTTATTATCATTATTACTTTTTTTTTCAATTCGAACGATACTAGCGAACCTATAAAAAAAAAAACGCGTAAATAGTTTAAATGTCAAAAATAAAATAACCTTTGACCCCGCTGACAAGTTACGACGTGGCAACAACACACAATTACACATCCACTTCATTAAATCAAATTATAATTTTTTTTTTTATTTTAACAAACGTTCGAGATGAGAAAACAAAAAAAAAAACAAACAAACAAACATGGCGACTGCGAAAAACCCTGGAATGAAAACAAAAACAAATGACGTCATCGTAGTAGTTAATCCCCGAATTTCGTTACGCGATTTTGAGCGCACACGTGACTACGAAAAAATACATTTGCAAATTATTATTATGATTATTATTTTGCAAAACGAGTTCGAAAATTGGCAACGACGACAACAACAACAACAACAACAAAACAACCGACAAACGAGAAATATGAGGAAAACAAAAAAAAAAAAAAAACGCGCAAGGTGAACGGGTAGGTCACTTTAAACAACCCCTTAAGGGTAACAACGCGTAATAATAACAAAAAAAAAAAAAAAAAAAGGAAAAAAGGAAAAAATTGAATCCGAGCCTTAAGGCGATCGAACGCTATTATTATTATTATCATTATCATTATTTGAAAAATACGCGGTTTCGAATAAAATTCAAATTTTCACGTGAAAATTTTTTTAATTATTCAATCGTAACCGAAAAATCAAAAAAAAAAAAAAAATCAAATTTTACGCGTAAAAATTCGGAAAAGTTACGTTACCCCACCAACTTTTGCCCCCTTGGGGTACAATAATAATAATAATAATAATAACCTGTCGGGTTCGGTAACTTATATAAGAACTGAATAGATCTAAAAGAGAAGAACACGTTTGAAAAAAAATGAATAATAATAATAATAATAATAATTTTCTTATTCGTTTTGATTTTCGCTTAACTTTCACCGTTTATTTATTTATTTTTTTTTTGTCATAATTTTATAATTTAATTATTATTCTGACGTGTAAATAGATAGATAAATAATTAAATAATAAATAAATAAACGTGGAAAGAGAGAGAAAAAAAGAATTTTCAACTTCGTTTTCACAAAGTTCCCCTTAGAAAATTCAAAACGAAAAAAATTTTAAAAAAAATTAATTATTTTCTTTAAGTTACCACCGACTTATGACTAATGATAATGATGATGATAATAATAATAATGATGATAATGATGGTATTGATGACGGTCGGTCATCATTACAGAAAATTTTTTTTTTTTTTTTGTATTTTTTTATAAATAATTCAAGGTAATTTTTTACAGTTTTTGAACTTGAAAACAATAAAAAAAAAAAAAAATTCCCAAAAAAATCAAAGTCGCTTTCCCGCCCTCTCTTACCAACCTTCCCCCTCCCTCCCTCCTCCCCTCATTTATTTCGACGTGTAATTAGCCAAAAAGAACAAAAAAATTTACATAAATTTTTTTATTTTATTTTTTCCTTAATTACGTTATTATTTATTATTGTTAATTACGTACGCATCGACGACCTTGCCGAAAATTTATTGTTATTATTTATTCAAAATTATTATTATTATTATTATTATTATTATTATTATTATTAACGAGAAAATTACGCGCGTTTATACGTCGTGATACGCGCCTGCGTTTTACTCATTATCATCATTATTATTATTATTGTAAAAAAAATTAATAAAATTCAAACGAAGGTTGACTCGTCACTGATTTTCCGTCGGGAAGAAAAACCTAAATGGGAAAATCTTATTGAACGAAATTTGGAAAAACTATTAAAACGACGGCCGTAAAAAAAAATATCCAACGCATTTTCCGACAAAGTAATTGCGAAACTTCGAAAAATTTAAGTGGGAAGAGGGAGGGGGAGACACTAATTTAAATTTAAAAAAAAAATATATATATAATTAATTGGATTATAAATTTGCCAAAAAATTTCAAGGTTTCCCTCATTATTTATTTACTTATTTATTTTTTTCTCCCAACTATGTTAATAAGGGTGAGAGTGCGCGTGCGCGTCGTAATAAAATTTCGTCTGCTTACAGGAAACAAAGACGACATCAAAACAAAAAAAAAAAAAAAACAAAATGCATCCATGCTAAAAAAAAAAAAACTTCTTGACCGTAAAAGAAAGTTTTTTTTTTTTTCACACATTTCGTCACACACGCACTTTTTCATGCGTGACGACACTAATTAATTAATTAATTTTTTAAAAAAAACGTGCGTAGGTGTGCGTAAAGTGAAAAGAAAAAAAAAAAAAATTTTACCAACGATACCGTTCGATTCGATCGAAAATTCGACCGACTGTTTTGTTAACAACTACCGTGCACCTTTAATTAAAAATAAAAAAAAGAAAGTTGAAATGTTAATAACACGACCGAATATCTGTTGCCACGTTAAACCACGTGAAAAAAAAAAAAAAAAAAAAAACAAAGCAAAAATTTTCTGGAAACTCTAAACGTTTTTTTTCCCTTCTTCTTATGAATACTAATGTAATATTTAAAATCATGATCGCTTATGATGATTTCACTAAAAGTCGTGGATAATGACACGTGAAAATTCATCATCATCATCATCATCATTTAAATAACTCATGATGATGACTTTCAATAATAATAATAATTGTTTGCCATTCGATCGGTTAAGTTAATGATGAAAAATTATTTTTGCAAAATACGAAATGAATCGACATTGAAAACAAAAATTTTTTTTGTGAATAAAATTTAATCGTTTGTGGTTGTTGTTGTTGTTGTTTGATTTTATTTCAAGGTCAACAACGTTTTTCTTTCTTTTTTTTTTTTTTTACTTTAAACATTTGAATTTAAACCGATGCAGACAAAAACCTCCAAAAAAAAAAAAAAAAAAAAATTCTTTTTAATTTTAAAGATTTGAGATTTAGAATTAAAAACCGGAAATCGTGAGTTAGTTAGATTTTTTTTGAAATTTATTGACACGATAAAATCTTTTATTTTCGTTTTAATTTTTTGTTTTGAAATAAAAAAAAAAAAAAAAAACTATTTCGAAGAATAGAAAAGTAAAAAAAAAATTTCGAGTCGTTTGTAAAAACAACATCACGTGATTAAAAATATTACCGGAAGACTAAAAACAAATTACGTCTCTTTTTCCGTCGTGGTAGGTAGTACACGAAGTCAAATACCTTAGCAAAAAATACAAATAATAATAATAATAATAATAATTAGACTTAATCGACATTCCTCGTTTAAATGATAGTATATGTTATGCGAAAAATTTTCTTTCTTTTTTTTTTTACTACTTCCGGTAGAAAATCGCTTTTTGAAATTTAAAAAGGAAACAAAACGACGATAAAGAGGGGGAGGGGAGAAGAGGGGGTGGAGCCACGAAATCATCAACTTAACCTTTTGACCTCATAACAAAAAATTTCGAATTAAAGAGAGAGAGAAAAAAGATTGAATTATCGATTATTCTCCCTCTCGCTCTCTCTCTCTCTCGATCGAATGATAATTACTTGTATAAATAATAATAATAATAGTAAACTCACCTTTTGGCATTCCACATGGTCCCTTCGTTCTGGAATTATCCAAAAAATCCAAATCGTATTTTCTCGCGGGCGGATACGTTAACGCGACGTGCGAGAGAACAAACGTAAAACACGACGACAGAAACAAAACAAAAACCGTCCTATAAAACATGTTGTTCGAACAACCACGTGACATTTTCTTTTTGAATTAATTTATTATTATTATTATTTGCACGACGCGGCGTTATTTGTTTTTCTTTCTCGAATTTTATTTATGAACACATATATTTTTTTTTTTTTCGAAAAAAAAAAATTCACTTTTCCGTTTTTCAAGTTTCCGACATTTTGTTTTATTATCCGATTTGTTCTTTTTTCCTTTTTCAAAAACAAAATCCTGAAAAAAAAGAAAAATTAATTAAAAAAACGTTTTCCATTTCCACGAAAACCAAAAAAAAAAAATATTATGTAAAAGAAAAAATGAAAATTCGGGCGTACAAACAACAAGGTTTCCCTTTCTCTCTCTCTCTCTCTCTCTCTCTCTCTCTCTTCTCTCTTTTTCTTACGGCTCTACTAGTTTTAGGCCAGATCCGGAATCTTAAAGCCGCACCCCTGAGGTACGCATTACACGAATCGTGCCTCACAAAAATAACAAACAACAAACTATTTAAAACCACTATTTAATAATAAAAAAGAAAATTTTTTTTTATTTAAATTTTTTTGCGGTTGTCTCTTGCATGCGATTGTTTGTTTGTTACCGATACCTGGTCGTCGTTTGTTTGTTTAACTTAAGTTTTTTTTTTGCTACGACACTAAAACAAAAACACAAAAAATTTACTTGTTCGATATTAAGAAAACAAATCACGCGATAAAACGGCAATAAAAATTTTTGTGAATAAAACAAACAAACGAACAAACAAACAAACGAAAAAATAATAAAAAATCAGGTGCGACGGGTCGATGCGTTGGTCACTCCACGGTTTAGTTTTTGTTTTTTTTCGATTTTCATCAAAATCAAGTTCAAATCGATGACGTGCAAAAATGATATTAATAATAATAATATCTTTTAAAAAAATGGTGGAAAATAATAATAATAATATTTCCTTTTCCGATCGATTTGTTTGAAAAAAAAAAAAAATTATCGAATGCCTTATTTGTAATAATTCATTAAAACGTTTTGGAATTTTAATTAATATTACGTACATGTTGAAAAAGTTCAACTTTCATTTTTTTTTCATTTTCTAACGTCTGAACAAACAAACAAACAAACGAACAAACGATGAAATAACATTAGAAAAACAAACAAGGCGGATGTAAAGAAAATTAAAATTTAAAACAATTGAGCGAAACAACCTCCGCCGCGAACAACAACAACAACAAATTTGCAAACGAATTTTTTTTTTCGAATTTTATCGTCACACACACACACACATCGATAAAATCGATATTTATCGATCGTTGTCGTTCGATTATCGATTATCGATCATTCAATTTTAAAAATTTTTTAAATCGAAATTCGAATAAAATTTTCTTTTTTTTTTTTGTTAATTCCGTTCATCCGGGTGGTTTTTTTCCGCTTCGCAAATTTTAATTTGCCCAACATTACAATCATTACGACAATGATAATGATAATGATAATAATGATGATGATGATGATAGTCACGACGACGACGTCGATTAATTATTATTATTATTATTATTAAGAGTTATTAAAAAATATTTTCACGTTTTTAAATAACTTTTTTTTTTGCCCGGTCAATTTACTCACGCGCGTCTGTAATTAAATTAATTTTCCGGAAATGACATTTTTCCATAGGGTCATTGACCCATATCGTAATGGCGGACAATCAGAAAGTAAAAAAAAAAAAAAAATCTTCCTTCACAAACAAGTGTTTATATATATTAGACAGGCAGGTATGCCAATATATAAAAAAAAAAAAAATTATTTTTACGTAGGCAATAAATTTATCAAACCGGATATTAAAACATTCGGTAATTCACCAAAAAAAAAAACTTTTATTCGGGTGGGGTCAAATGTCAAAATATTAATAAATAATAATAATTATTTTCAATTTCCGTTTACGACGGCGATGATGATGATGATGATGACGACAACGCACGATGAGTACGAAACTTACGTTTCGACTATTACGTAATTTTTACTACCCTCGAGTTTTATTTTTTAATTAAATTACTTAATAAAAAGAGAGAGACAGAGAGAGAGAGAGAAAGAGAGAGAGAATTTATTACGGTAATTAAAAAAAATTAAAAATTATAGCATAGGGAAAAATTAAAATCAATTTCATTACAATTAATTATTTCACGTATCCTTTTTTTTTTTTTTTTTTTTAATATTCGCCGTAATTAATTCCCTGCGCAAAAAAAAATGGCGCAAAAAAACAAACGTGACGAATTCGCCACACGCTCCCCATTTTTAAAAAATTAAAATTTGTAAAAATAAAAATTCATTTCCTGTTGTTGTCGTTTAAATTGACGGCGAATATCGCCGAAAGGTTTACAAAACCGAGGTCAAGATTAATCAAGTGGGTGCGTGAGTCGAAGGACTTTTTTTTTCCACCGCCAATAAAAAAATTCATTCGCCATGTTTATCATTATCATTCCACACACCCGCCATTTTATTTTTTTTTTTTTAAATTAGGTACGAACCACTGATTAAAATCCAAATTTTTTAAATTCTTCTTCTTTTTTTAAATCGACTCAAAAAAATAAAATTTAACCCGAAATAAACCAAAAAAAAAAAAACAAAAAAACAAGTTTCAACCGGATATTGTCAAACTCATCAAACTCTTAAATCCAATATGGCGGGGATTACAAGTGTTTTATCAAAAAGAATTTATTACTTACGTAAAGAAAAGAAAAGAAAAGAAAATTTTTTTCGGTATCCGATCGATAATAATAATAATAATGAAAACAATATTTCCCCTCCCCTTCCCCCGCCCGGCCCCACCTGTTAGAAAGTTTATAAATATTATCGTAATGGTCTAAATATTTTAAAATAAAAAAAAAAAATCAAACAGACCGTTTTGTAACGGTCTACCTAAGTTTGAAAAAAAATTTACTTGCACGCACTCACGCACGTGCACGCACACACGCACACATTTTTCCCTTTAAAGAAATAATCGTTAACTTTTTATTATTATTATTATTATTATTATTGAAAAATTTTAATAGAGATTAAACAACTTCCGCCATATTGTTTTTCCAGTAATATTAATTGTTCTTTTTTTTTTTGAAAAAATTCTCTTATTAATTACTCTTTGATAAAAAAAAATTTTGCTGCGTAAAAATAATACAAATAATAATAATAACAATAATAATAATACTAATAATGATAATAAAACAACGAGAAAATTAAACAACAAAACAAACGACAAACACGTGCAAAAAAAAAAATTTTCTTTTTTTTTTAATTTTCAATAAAAAAAAAAAAAAATTCAAATGTTTTATCATTTTTTAAAATAATTTTCATTATTGACAAACCGAATAAACAAACGTTAAAAAACAAACAAAACTTCGTTTTATACTCTATTTGTTTGTTTGTTTGTTCAGGTTTATTCAAACCACACGATATATTTGTCGAATTCTAAAACAAGAAAACAAACATTCACGCGTAAAAAAAAATTTTTTCGTTCGTTCGTTCGTTTGGAAAAGATGTTGAAAAATAATTTGTAAACAAAACAAACGAATGCAACAAACGACGATGCAATTGATTGATGATTGTTTAAAAAAAAAAAAAATTAATTACCATCTCGCACGTAAAAAAAAAAAAATCATCGTTTTTTTCTATTCGTACCAAACAACAACAACAAACATTTCGAGTTTTTTATTCTCTCGATTAATCAAATCAACAATTCACATTCGTTTCTCCAGTAAAAAAAAAAAAATGATAAAAACATTAGGACGTCAAAAAAATAATAGTAATAATAATAATAATAATAATTCCAGTACCTAACATCATTTTATCATCGAACCATATAGATTTCACCGCCTTCCTGGAAACAAACAAAAACAACAACAACAACTCTTTTTTTTTTATTTTTTCCATCAATTTTATTAACAAATATAGTATTTTCCTCTCAAAATTTATTTTTCTGCAACCACGTTAAGATGATAAAAGTGGGCGTGAAGAAACTAGTCGAAAAAAAAAAAAAGCAACCGGCAAAATTTTTCAACGGGTAATGAACTCAAACAAACAAAAACAAAAAAAAAAAAACGAAGCAATGAACTGTAATAAATGAAGAAAAAACAAAAAAAACGTGCAACGCGTGGGGTTAGCAAATACAAACACGTAAAAACAAAAATGGCCGCGGAAAATAAAAAAAAAATCATAATTGCCAAACAGGTACAGGAAAAAAAAAAAAAGAAAACTGTAGGAGAATCAAAATCGGAAAAAAAACTGCCTGAAACCGTTAAAAATTAAAATCCCTAAATATATATTATTATTATTATTATTATTATTTCAATGTATCCGCAAAAAAATTTTATTATTATTATTATTATTCGACAGGTGCGAATTATTTGTTATGTTCAGGTATTTGACACACACACACTGAACCAAAAAATTTCCATCGAAATCATCCTAAACGATGAGAGAAAAACCGGTAGTGACGTCATAAATTTAAAATGACCGCATTTAAATAAAAAAACAATTACGTAATCGTTTTTAAATGTTGTTTCGAAGGAATAAAAATATCATAAAGTATATATAATAATCATAGAGAAAAAAATTATTCGTGAATCATATTATCGATGGAAATTTTTTAAATTTTATTAAAAACGCTCTTTTCTCCTCCCCCCCCCCCAGCATTCGACTTCAACAACCTGACTTTTGACTTTTAGATTTCTTTTTTTACAAAAAATAAAATTGTTTACGCCTTTATGATATCAAATGTATTAAAATACAAAACCAAAGAACAAAATCGGAATCCCCCACTTCCCCCCCCAAAAAAAAAAAAAAAATTGTAAATATTATTCGAGAATAATATCATAGGGAACCTTTTCTCTCATTCATTCTCACTAAATCATCATCATCATCATCATCGTGAATATTCCGTGGTTAGACTCCCTTAAGATTCCTACGTAATCTCATAGATTTTTACGTAAAAAAAAAAAAAGAAACAATGAACCTAAAATTTTTTAAAAACCTTTCTCACGATGAGAAATACATAATAATATATAATAGAAATAATA